TCTTATTTTTATTAAAATAATACATGCAAATATTGGAACAATGCAATACTGTGATGCTAGAAGTTTTATTTTGAAGAAGAGATCCCCGCGGCACTGTTCCCCGCCACAGTCCCGCACCGCAGAGATGGGTGCACTTCGTTCTAATTATCTTTCCTGGCATTTATGTTTGCATTCTCAGTACTATCTTCATTTCACTAATTCGTTGATTTAACAATGTTAGACACTAATTGACTACCCTAGTTTAGGCCACTATCCTACTTTTTAGTACTAGATTATAAATTAATTTATCATTCTTAGCTGAACTGTAATGTTTTATGATCATTTAAAAGATTTTCTGTATTTTCATCATCATCTATGTAAGAAAATTAACATAAGCAATAACTAACATTTAGTTAGTACTTAGTGTGCGCCAGGCACTATTCTAATGTTCTTTCATCAAGTATCACACGTCATCTTTACAGCAGCGCTAGGAAGTGCAGGTACTGTTGTTACCTCCGTTTTCTAGATGCAGAAATGTCACTTAGGGAGATTATGTGAATTCTTGGTCAAGTGTCTAGGAGGTGACAGAGCCGGAATGCGACATCTAGAACTTGACCTTACGGTACCCGGCAGGATCCTTGAGGGGATGTGTTCTAAGACCCTCAGTAGATGCCTCGCCCCGTGCACACTGGGGTTTTCCAAGCCAGTAATGGCTACTAAGCGACTAATGGGCAGTGGCGTCTACAGCATGAGGACGCTGGACAGGCCACCTGGCCTGTCCCAGGCGGGGTGGAGTGGGATGGTACGAGATTTCATCATGCTGCTCAGAAGGGCACGCAATTTAAAACTTAACGAATTGTTTCTTTCTGGAATTTTCCATTTAAGATTTTCAGACCATGGTTGACTGGAGGTAACTGAAGCTGTGGAAAGTGAGGAAATGAAACCGGGGGTCGGGGGGACCCTGTGATGCCGTGGGGTACCGTGCCACTTGACAGTCACGAATTTGCACTTGTTAGCAAATAGTCCGAAGATTTATAAGCTGTGAATTTGCTGAGGCCCAGCTTCGAGGCTGTCCGTTTGCAGGTGTAGGGTGTTCAGGTAGCGGGCGGGCGTTTGTGGATGATTTTCTGAGGGTAATTCTGTTTTCTAACGGCTTATGAGTTTGCATAGCCTCGTCTGATGCAGTGGCTCTCAGACCCCCGGGGGCTTCTGACAGCGCAGGTCCCTGGGCCCCGCCGCAGGGGTCGCGCCAGGGCCCGAGAACGTGCGTTTGTGACCAGGTCCCCGGCAAGGCTGGTGCTGCTGCCTCAGCCAGACTGGTGTGATGCTGCACCCGTCCTTCCGGAATGTTCGGGCTCTGCCCATCCCCATCAGTCTTCTGCCCTCGCTAGCGTGTTGGCGCCTCGAGAGCAGCTCAGTTATTGGGGTTTCTATTTCTTTCTCGCCCCCACAGTGAGCAGGGCCATGTTGTCCACATAGTGGGTGGCAATAAGTTGGGTTTTTTCAAGCTTTAAAACAGACTCACTTGATTTTTCTTCCCCCGCCCAGCTGTGCTGAGGTAGGATTGGCAAATAAAAGTTGTGTATGTTTAAGGTATAGGGTGTGGTGCTTTGACAGACACACACTGTGAAATGGTTGCCACAGCCAGGCTAATTAACACGCCCACCGCCTCACAGTTACCCTTGTAGCCAGTGCAGGCTCAGTGGCCTTTATCAGAAATGCTTGGGACTGGAAGCTCTGGGACTTCAGATTTTTTCAGATTTTGCAGTGTTTGCACATACATAATGAGGTATCTTGGGGACGAGACCTAAATCGAAACACGAAACTCGTTTGTTTCACATCCACCTTGCACACCTGCTCTGAAGGTGACCATGTTTTTCCCTCGGGAGGCTGAGCAGGCTGCTGTGCGCCTGCGTTTTCGCTGCCGCCTGCCAGTGAGATCAGGAATTTTCCACCTGTGGCGTCACGCCAGTGCTCAAAACATTTCCGATTCTGGAGTGTTTTGAACTTTGGAGTTTTGGATTGGGGATGCTCAACCCGTAGTAAGTAGATTGTTTGCTTCCCTACAAAGAGCATTTTTGTAATCTTGATTTTTCAATTAAAACGTAGTATTTTCTTATAGTGAAAATCACCTTTAGTAGCACCACCACGACAGCAAAAATGTTAACAGAAAGGTAGAAGCCGACCCTAAAGGGGTTTCGGACCGCGGCTGACCGCCGAGGAACTTCGTGTGTGATCGGAGCAGTGTTTAGAATTACATGAATTAAGTGACTCGTAGGATATCACAGAAGGGTGCTTATCTCATTTTTTAGCAGAGGCTTTTGTCTTTCACCTTAAGCATTCTTTGAGATCTTTTTTTAACCGTTTATTTATACAGAGGTCAAGCAGAATCGACATGTCTGGGGCTGCGGAAGCGATCTTCAGAGCCAGCGACCGTCGTCCTGCCGGCGGCAGCCCTGTGCTATGCTTTGGACAGGTAACGTGTGGCTCCCTCCCCGGAGAGGACGAAGTCAGGTGAGAAAAGTTACGACATGATGAGCTGCAGAGCGTCACCACGCACGTGAAAGCTGTTTGCCATTAATCGGCTTTTCTTCAGATGCGTTACTTGGTGGTCTTTGGCGAGCTCTGACAGCATTCTAGAACTTAGCATCAAAGGACCGAGGGTACTGAGGACTACATTTGGATTTAAATTTACTTTTTGGATAGATAACACATTCATATGCTATTGAATTCAAAATGAGACAAAGACTGTATGTGACAGGTCCCCCGTCCCCCTTGAGCCCCTGTGTCCTTGCCGGCCAGGCCTCTTTCCTGGGGGATCCCAAGCTACCGGAGTCCTGGTCTTTGTCGAGACATTGTGTGTGTAGAAAAGGCTTTCTTGCTGCATCTTTGTCTTTACCAGAGATTTGTTTATGAGTGTTCACCTCCTTTAAACGGGGCCAGGGGACAAAAGCAAAGTCAGCGAGGGAAATTGTTGAATTGGAGAAGAAGGTATAAAACTTTGGAGAGGACAGGTGGGATCAAGCCTTCCTATCCTGTTTTCTTTCTTTCTTTTTCTTTTTCTTTTTTTTTTTTAGCGGCAGAGTCTCACTCTGTCGCCGAGGCTCGGGTGCAGAGTTGTCATCATGGTTCACTACAGCCTGGAACTCCTGGGCTCAGGTGATCCTCCTGCCTCAGCCAGGACTACAGGTGTGTGCCACCATGCCTGGCTAATTTTTAAAATTTTTTTATAGAGAAGGGATCTCACTAGGTTGCCCAGGCTTATCTCAAACTACTGGCTTCAAGTGATCACTCCTCAACGGCCTCCCAAAATGCTGGGATTACAGGTGTGAGTCACCATGTCTGGCCTGACTTGAGAAAATTATAAAATTTTATAAGGATGTAGCAATAGCTAAGGCAGTGATCCTCAAAATGTGGCTTTGACACCCCTGGAGAATCACGAGAGCCTTCAGCATTCATGAGGTCAAAGTTATTTTCATAATAATGCTAAGATACTGTTTGCGTTTTTCACATTAAGCCTCTCACGTGTGAATGGTAGAGTTTTCCAGAGACTGCACAGCATGATGGTATCATCACTCTGATGCCTAATGCAATGTGTGTCTTAAAGGTTTCTCAGTTTTAATTCCTAATACGATGGATATAACCAAGATAAACAAAAGCTCTTGGGGTCCTCAATAAGAGTGTAAAGGGCCGGGCGTGGTGGCGCGGCCTGTAGTCCCAACACTCTGGGAGGCTGAGGCAGGAGGATGCTTGAACCCCGGAGTCTGAGGTTGCATGAGCTACGATGATGCTGCTGCACTCCAGTCTGGTGAGAGAGGGGGACTCTGTCTCCAAAAAACAGAGCATAAAAGGGTCCTGAGACCAAAACGTTGCAGACTTGGTGACGTAAGGCGCGGTGGAAACGTCCGATTTTCCCTTTCTGACTGCAGTGCCAGTACACGGCAGAGGAGTACCAGGCCATTCAGAGCGCGCTGCGGCGGAGGCTGGGCCCGGAATACATCAGCAGCCGCACGGCTGGAGGAGGCCAGAAGGTAGGAGAGCGCCCACGCCGGAGAGCTTGTGTCCGTGCGTGCAGACTGCTCAGGCGACCTCGCAGCTCTCTCTCTGGGTCTCACGGGTGCGGGAGGCTCTTGCTCACTGTGCGTGGAGGTCTCCTGGTGCCCCTGGGTAGGGATGGGTCCGGCCTTCATTCTCATCCGAAGGGGCCCAAGCATCCTCTTGAGACCTGGATAACTGCCGTCTTAGGATTTTCATACCATTTTAAAAAATGTCCCTTTTGCCATTCGCTGCTTTTTATTTTTTAATTAAATAATTTTTAAAAATTTATAATTAACACATAATAATTGTGCATCATTTGCTTATAATTTTAACTTCTGTGCATGTTTTTGGTCTTCCATAAAATACGTCAACCTTGAGATTTATACTCTTTTGGCATCTGTGAGTTTTGGAAACCGTTAGATGAATGGTTCTTTCCCCTCTGAGTCTAGTTCCTCCCCCTGGCAGACCATTAGTTCATTAGTTCTCACTGGCTCCTTCTAGAACCGCGGTCCCCAGCACCCAGTCCACGGCGTGTTAGGGACTGGGCCACGGAGCTCTGCCGTACCCACCCCCCACCTGCCCTCTGTCCGTGGAAAAATCATCTTCCATGAAACCGGTCCCTGGTGCCAAAGAGGTTGGGGACCGCTGCTCTAGATCTTTGAAATAAATTCACTGAGAATTTCCCTGGAAGGTTTAAGGGCAGTTTTGCCAAACAAGCAGATAAGGAATAAAGTAAGTACATTTTGACTCACATTTAAGTATGACAAGGAATTTTAACATAGCTTTTTCTTTAAAAACAATTTTTTCTAGGTGTGTTACATTGAGGGTCACAGGGTAATTAGTCTGGCCAACGAGATGTTTGGTTACAATGGCTGGGCACACTCCGTCACACAGCAGAACGTGGGTGAGTCTGCTGCTTCCTGGCAGCGCCGACCGCTCGGGCCCCTTCCTTTGGCCTTGTCTGATTGGTGTCGGGAGTGCTCGGTGTCGAGGGTGGGAGGTTGGCGTGTCCGGCTGGCAGCGGAGGGACGTGGGTGAGGCTGAGTCGCATCCTCGTCAGCTGATCTCTTTCCCGCTACTAGATTTTGTCGACCTCAACAACGGCAAGTTCTACGTGGGAGTCTGTGCGTTTGTGAGGGTGCAGTTGAAGGTGAGGGTGCAGTTGGAGGTGGGGTGCAGGTGAAGGTGGGGTGCAGGTGAAGGTGGGGTGCGGTTGAAGGTGGGGTGCAGTGGAAGGTGGGGTGCGGTTGAAGGTGGGGTGCAGTGGAAGGTGGGGTGC